TCGCGGACTGGGGGTCCGTACTCATGTGCGCGGCTGGGCGCGTGTGTCCCCGACACAGGGAGGGGTTGTCCGGCTGCTCCCCTGGGGTCTGCGGGGAGAGGGACGGGAAGACGGGCAGTAGGAGGGGGAGGGGGAGGAGAGAGAGGGGGAGGGGGAGGGGGAGGAGGACAAGCTAGGTGCGCTCGCGCCATGTCTGACGTCCTACCCCTCCCTCCCATCCTTTACCATGGCGTAGATATCCTCTCGGTTCGCACAGGCGGATGTCGAGCAGGGCAGTGATCGCGAGAGGGTACGCGATGCATGGTAGAGCACGGCATGGCGTGGCGTAGAAGAGCACGGCAGAGCGTAGCATGCCATAGCATGGCGTGGCATTGCGCAGTGAAATATTGCACCACAAAGCATTGCAACGCAAAGCATGGCATTGCACAGCGGCGCGGAGTGCAACACCGCACAGCATGTCATGACGTGGCGCCGGGTTATTTGGAGGGTAAGTGGATCGTCTTCGAGAGGTCCGGGCTGGTCCGAAGTTGTGGCTCCATGTCTACTAGCTCCCTGGGCTCCCCGAAAAGCTCCACACAAGGCGGGGCTGGTGGAGAGCACACGTTGGCTCTGCTTGCAACATCGCCTTCTCGAAGCAGAAACGGGGCCCCCGCTTGATTCTTCCTGAAAGTGACGACGCCCAACAGTGTGGGGGGGGAGCTTCTGCGGCCCCAAAAACCAACGAACCGAAACAGAATGTGCAATCACTTCCGATGTTTTTTTTCTAGGCGGGGCAATTTTTAAATTCTGGACGTTTCGCGTATCCCCAACAGTGCGCCCACGGCAGCGAGCTCCCCAAGGCACCTCGCGGGCAGGCAGCGCGGTCGGCACCACCTCCACACGTGCCGCCCCCCACCTTTTCTCTTCCTCCGTCGGCGATGCTCACCACGCCAGCGGGGCCCCTCTCTCCTTGTGGCGGCACCGTGCAGTCGCGCTTTGGACACAGTCGTTCGGCTCCCCCCCCGACACTGTGGTGCGGATCACTGAGGACTGGGCGCTGAGTGGTTCAGCCTACGACGCCTGTACAGCCTTCGGCCCCTTCCAGCTGTCGCGCGCTGTTTTCTGGCCTCGACCGCTCAGCCGCTCGGCTTGTGCAGGTCGGCCGTTGAAGTCTGGCGCCACATCGGCGACCCACTTCGGGGCATTCTCATTCTCACCGGGCACAGCGGCCTGCCCACGCGCCTTCGTGAGCTTGCCTCTCGAATTCTGGTCATTTTGTTCAGTGCATGCGCAGGTGCTAGCAGTTAGTCCGCCTACTCCGGCTGGCAGCGCACTGTCTTGCAAATTAGCCTCGCCCGTGGCCCGGACGTCGCCTTCGCTCCCTGAACGTAGTCTCGGGGCCGCTGACCAAAAAGCGTATCCCCACCAGCCCTGGCCGTCGTTGACTCTCCGACTTCTGGCGCTCCCGACGGACTTGCAGCTTTGCACGCTGGCAGTTCCCCTCAGTCTCAGTCCCTTCAGCCATCCTCCTGCCTTTGGGCCGCTGCGTGAGGCCTCGGCCGGCGCGTAGCTGTTGCCTCGCGCGTCGCCTCTGTTTTAATGTTCTCGTGGTTCCTCTGCCTAATTCGTTTCTGCGTAGCCCGCGTTGACCTGACTCGCCGCCGGCGCGCTCGCCCACGGCCGCGGACTAAAAAAAATACCCCCACCAGCCCACCCAGAAACGATGTGCAGGCGAGTTGAGGTGATCAGGGAAGTGCGGCAGCAAAGAAGGGGACGGCCGAACCGTGCAAAGGAGTGAGGCGGAGAAGGATGAGGTGGATGGATGGATGTATGAGGGAGTGGGCGGAAGGAGGATGAATAGGATGAGGGGGCGGAGGAGGAGGAAGAGGAGGAGAAGGAGGAGGAAGAGAAGGAGTAGGAGGAGGAAGGAGGAACAGGAGGAGGAGGAGGAGGAGGGCAAGCACAAGGGCCAGAGGTCTCTTGGATGCCTCTCGGAGCCTGTTGGGGTATCTCTTGGGGGATTATTGGTGGCCTCTTGGGACGTCTTGGAGGTTTCTTCGCGATCCTGGGGGGCTCTTCGGGGTCTTGGGTGCCTCGGGGGAGGACCTCTTGGGGCCGCTTGGGGTCTTCTTGGGGGCCTCCTGGGGGCCTCTTGGGCGCTTCTTGGGGCCATCTCGGGGCCATCTTGGGACCTCTTGGGGCCTCCTGGGCGGGCTCTTCGGGGTCTTGGGTGCCTCGGGGGAGCCTCTTGGGGCCGCTTGGGTTTGGGGGGCCTCTTGGTGGCCTCTTGAGGGCCTCTTGGGGCCATCTCGGGGCCATCTTGGGACCTCTTGGGGCCTCCTGGGCGCTTCTTGAAGCCATCTTGGAGGAGATCGATCAAACAAGAGGGGGGGGCACAATTAGGGCCCCCCCCCAGAGGCCAAAATGGGGCCAGAACCCTAGCAAAACCAATGATTATGGCTTCCTCGCCGAGGCCGTTTTGGACGCCCTGACACCTCGCGACCCCCCCTGTCCAGGTCCATGGGGAGGGGGTAGGGGGAGGGGTAAACCCCTCCCCGAAGGGGAAGAAGGAGGGGTGGAAGAGGAACCCCCCTAAACCACCGACGCCCAGAGGGCTGGTGGGATTTTGGGGCCTATCTGGAAGGACCGAGAACGCCCGCGCTGCAGCGGGAGCACGCTTTGGAACAACCAGAGGCGCAACAATGGGGCCAGATGTTGAAGCAACTTCCCAAGCGAAAACAAATGTCCTGGGAATCCTGAGCAGAGTGGCCCCAGCGACAAAGCAAGCAAACCGCAAAAGACATCCACACAATGTGGCCGCGAACGGGAGGTAACACCGGCAGTTCCCCTGTGGGTTGCCCAGGGGCCATGTCTGTTATGTCGCGGTGATCAGGTGGCTTTCAACAGGGAGGAGCTTGGGTTGCAAAAACATGCAACAAGTTGCAGGCATGCCCACAATCTGGCCGAGAAAGGAACAAGTGTCATAGTCCCTGTCGGCTTCCTCTCGGGGTACACCATTACCACAACTGCCATGTCGCTGTGATCATGAGGCTTTCAACAGAGGGGAACCTGTAAGGCAAAACAAGCAAGGTGCATGAGAAATCCAAGCAAGACGGACCTGAACTGGCGAGTGCCATGCCGCCTGGCGCCCCCCCCCCCCCCCCTGGGGCGCCCAATTGTCACTCCTGCTATGTTGCGGTGGTCATGCTGCGAATGTGAATGATCTTACTGTGAATGGTACGTGTGAAGGAGTCTGAGTATGGCTTTCGCAGTTGGGTATGTGTGGACCTAGACAGGAGTGGTCTGTGTCTGAGCGAGTCTGCGTATGAGGAGGGATGGGTATCAGAGGATCTGAGTGAGAGTGAGCGGTGAGAGCCAGTGGGACTGAGTGTGGGTGAGTCTGACTATGAGTGGTCTGAGTGCAAGCTGAGTGTTCTGACTGTGAGTGAGTCTGAGTATGAGCGATCTGAAAGTGATGAGAGGCAATGCCCTCGCTTCTCGCAGGTCTCCCCTGCTGTTTTTATGAGTCTCACAATGCACGTGACGAGCGTCAGCATTGCAGAGCTCCTAGAGATAAATCGAACGCCTAGCCAAAGCGACGACTCAGCAACTCATCCGCACCGAAGTGTGGTGGCATGAATTGTTCAGCCACTTCACACGACAAGCCCTGCATACTTTATGCATGCAGACGCCTCCCATCGCACACTTGGTTAGGTTCTCGGTGTATTGCACTCCTGTTTGGTTTCACGGGTGTGAGTTTCCAGTTGCGCCCCGGTGGCTCTGTAAAACGTTCCCTCGGAATGGCGCACCCGGCTTGTCATCTGACCTTCTCCTTTGGGCGTCGCGTGTTGGGGGGGCGTAAATGGGGGGGCAGCGATGGTGCAGAAAAGGGGCCCTGTAGGTCTCCTGAAGGGCCCCCGACAGGGGCCTCTAGGGCCCGAAAAGTGCACCTTAATTTCTTCCTCCCAATTAATCGCCCCCCCCAGTAAGCGACGCCCAGCTCCCCGGTCCTTCCCTACTGTTGGGGAGTGCGTTCTTCCTCCTCCTCCTCCTCCTCCTCCTCCTCCTCCTCCTCCTCCTCCACAACCCAATCCTCCTCACCCCTCCATTCGCTCTCCCCCTTCCATGCGCCCCCGTGCGCGCCGGAGGGTGGGGGGAGAGGCGGGGGCGAGGGGGGGGGGGGGAAGTGCGAGTGGGAAAGAGAGAGAGAGAGAGAGGGCAGGAGGAGAAGCAGAAGGAGGGGGACGAGGGCGAGGATGAGGAAGAAAATGGAGGCGGGGGCCGGGGGAACAGGATGGGGAGGGGGGAAGGGTTGGGTGGAGGAGGAGGAGGAGGAGGTGAAGGAGGAGGAGAATAGCGAGGGGGGAGTAGGAGGAGGCGGGGAACGGAGGGACGAAGCAAGGAGCGTTTGCTCTCTCTAGTACGCGTTGCGTCAGCAGCCTCTCCGTCCGCAAAGTAGGAAGGACGGCAGAAACGTCGTGAAGCCCTTTGCGCCCCATGTGAGGCGAGGCGACATGTTTTGAAGCACCCCTGTGACCAGCTGAAACACATACTGCTTTGCCTTGCGAGGATGCGCTTCTGATGCAAAAATAGAAGGGAGGGTGGGGAACTACGCATGCACCGGCTCATCTCGAGGGGCCGCGCCTTCCTCGTTGGGATAGATCTGAGATCTCCCAGGCAGTGGGGTCGCAGCCCGCCAGTGGGAGGCCAGCAGGCTGGCCACGGCAGCAGGCTGGCCACAGACTCTAAGAGCTTGGTGGACCCCAGCGTGGCTCCGTGCATGGGCCCCCGATTCCCACGGCCGCCCGAGGGTGCCGAGACGGGGCAGCGCAGGTAGCGGGAGCCTGGCCGCGGAGCCCCCCTCCTCCTCCCTCCTCCCCTCCTCCTCCTCCTCCTCCTCCTCCTCCTCCTTCCTCCTCCTCCTCCTCCTCCTCCTCCTCCTCCTCCCCTCCTCCTCCTCCTCCTCCTCCTCCTCCTCCTCCTCCTCCTCCTCCTCCTCCTCCTCCCCCCCGTTCCCGCAGGACGAGCGCTGGCTCCGCGGCCACTTCTCGCTGCCGCCCCGGCGCGGCCCCGCCGCCGCCGGGCCCGCGGCAGGCGATCCATGGCCCCTCCGGGCCCGCGCTCCTTGGCGGGGGCCCTGGGGCGCAAACATGTCTGGGTTAAGTCGGGGAAACGCACGACCCGAGCAAGCCGGAACTCGGGTTTGCTTACGTTTTTTTGACGAGCGCGTCCTGGATTTTGACGGTCCAGTTTTCGTGGGATGTTTGCAGCGGGAGTTCGCGTCAAATTTCAGATTGGGCCTCTTCATTTTTATGAGGGCCCCGTCGGGCCAACCCGAGTCCCCCGTACCCGAGTCTTACGCCTCCCCGATTAGGTAAAGAGAAGGAGGCGAAATGTCATACTAAACATATGTCGATCGTAGTCGTCTTTAGCCGTAGGGGCTTCGCCCCCTGCCGCCGGCCCCCTCTCTCGGAGAATGGGCCATGCAAGAGCTGAATCATGAGGCCTCGGCGCCGCCGTGAGGCAGCATCGGCAAGGGAAATTATGATTATGATGATATTGTTGAATTCAGTGTTGCATTTTGAACCTGCCCCCGTATGCTGTACACTGAGGTTTCCCACAGAATTTCGGACATTCGGCAAATCCCATTGGTTTTTCTACCTTGAGCCTGCTGATCTGCTTGAGGGTTGCCACCGAATTTCAAAAAATGTGGCAAATCGCATTGGTTTTTCGACCCTGACTCCGCCGATCTGCGTGAGGGGTGCCGCCGAGTTTCAGAAATGTGGCAAATCCAATTGATTTTTCGACCCTGACTCCGCCGATCTGTGTGAGGGGTGCCACCGAGTTTCAGAAATGTAGCAAATCCCATTGTTTTTTCGACCCTGATTCCGCTGATCTGCGTGAGGGGTGCCGCCGAATTTCATGTGGCAAATCCCATTGGTTTTTCGACCCTGACTCCGCCGATCTGCGTGAGGGGTGCCGCGGAATTTGTTTTTTCCACGCTGATTCCGCTTATCTGCGTGAGGGGTGCCGCCGAATTTCAGACATGTTGCACATCCCATTACTTTCTCTACCCAGACTCCGCCGATCTGTGTGATGGGGTGCTTCCGAATTTCAAACATGTGGCAAATCGCATTGGTTGTTCGACCCTGATCCCGCCGATCTGCGTGAGGGGCGCCGCCGAATTTTAGAAATGTGGCACAACTCATATGTTTTTCGAGATTTTCAGACATGTGGCAAGTCCTATTGCATGTTCGACCCTGGCCCCGTCGATCTGCGTGAGGGGTGCCGCCGAATTTCAAGACATCCCATTGTTTTTCGACCCTGACTCCGCCGATCTGCGTGAGGGGTGCCGCGGAATTTCAGACATGTGGCAAATCCCATTGGTTGTTCGACCCTGACTCCGCCGATATGTGTGAGGGGTGCCGCCGAATTTCAGACATGTTGCAAATCCCATGTGTTTTTCGACCCTGACTCCGCCGATATGTGTGAGGGGTGCCGCCGAGTTTTAGAAAGGTGGCACATCCCATGTGTTTTTGGACCCTGACCTCGCCGATCTGCGTGAGGGGTGTACATTTCGACCCCCCCAGAGATTCGGAGAACCCTCCCAGGAGACGCTAGGTTTACCATTTTTGGGCTCCCCCCCTCGCGCGGTCTACAAATAGGAACAGAAAGCAGCAACAAGCAAGACTGTAACAGTGGAAACTGGAAATTGGAACTGGCGCAGCGAACAGCAAACCCTCAGCCTACAGCCTGGTGGACCCACAAGGGGGCCGGCGGATGATAATAATACCACTCGTGATAATGAGTTTGACACTGATCATGCTAGTGGTCGTATAGTAGTAGTAGCAGTAGCAGTAGCAGTAGCAGTAGCAGTAGCAGTAGCAGTAGCAGTAGCAGTAGCAGTAGCAGTAGCAGTAGCAGTAGCAGTAGCAGTAGCAGTAGCAGTAGTAGTAGTAGTAGTAGTAGTAGTAGTAGTCGCAGCCGTCGTAGCCGTCGTAGCCATCGTAGTCGTCGTAGTCGTCGTAGTCGTAGTCGTAGTC